GGAGCGGGGGAATCTCTTCGGGCTGCGCTGGGGCTGTGTCCGGCGTCCGGCCGAGCCCGTCCTGGCTTTTCTTGGCCGCCCCGTAGGCGAAAGGCTCTGTGTTTGTCTGCTGATGGTTTAATAACTGTTGTGATTTAATAAGCGTTCATGGTTCAGAGGTGGTGGTGGGTGTTGTCCGGCAAAGGTCGTGCCGCGCTGGGGTTGAAAGCCTTAAAACCAAAAAGCCTGGAAAGCAGTGTTAAAATAAGGACGTGTGATCTCAGCACCCACCGCTCTAACACCCCTTCTCTCACTGTGACATAAACGCCGTCCTGGTGTTTATTGGATCTTTACGATCTCTCCTGCCGGGGTACGGGTGGCACACGCTGGTGTCACCGGGTCGTGTTCCCGTAAACCGCTGCCGGGAGCAGGAGCTTGCGAACCGAGCTCCCGCTTGGACCACGCCGTCACATCAAGTCTTAAGCAAAGAGAGTGATATTTGTTATATAAAAATGCCCACCCTCACATCTCAATGTCCTGTGTGGCTGCTGTTAGTCCTCTTGAAGACTTCTGAAGCATGAGCCCTTCTGCCGACTTGTTTGCGGTGACTATGAACAGCCTGGGGAGTCTCCTGTGGAATTCGTGCCTTCTTCACCTTTAACTGGTTTATGCTGGTTTGTGGCTCACAGCTGTCATTGTTATAAGCAACACTGCGTAAACCTGCGCTGTGAAATTAGACAGCACTGAGGTTTAAGTTTCAAGCTGTGTGGTCTTTTAAATAGAATGTTTGCATTGAGCGTGTTGCCTTTGAGCGGGGAAAATGATGGCTATTTGCCTCTCTAAATCTCTTCAAAGGGAAAAGGAAGAATATTATACTGTGGTTAATTGTGTGTTGTTTTCAAAGAAAACAAACTTTATAACCTTGGAGGGGTCAGTGCTAGAAGGAGAGGAGCTAGACTTTCCAGAGATCTTATATTGCTGAAGTAGCAAATGAAAAAATCCTCAGTTGCGTCTTTTCTCGTGCATAGATCTAGACCTCTGCTGGGAGATGCAGCAGCCGGTTGAGCATACATTCACATGTTATTCCTTGTCCTCTGGTCAAGCCGTGTTGTCAAATCCCTTTGTTCCTTTCACTCCCCCTCTTCCACACTCCAAATCTTCTTGATGCCTCACCTTAAACTTCACAGGCTTGTTTTGAGGCAGAGTACAGCTCTTTTGGATACAGTCTCTCTGATTTTTGCTTATTGCCATCATCTGCTCCAGCTACTTCTTCTATTTCTTGTTTAAATTCTAAATTTAAAGTACCCTTGTGTAATAAAATCTGCCCCTGTGTTTTGGGGTTTGTCTTTAAAATGTCACTTATAATAAGTGAATTTGTGGATAGCACCGCATTGCTTTGTGCTCTATCCTCTAGTTAACTTTTTCTTGGCAACTGACTGACTGGAGCCCTGCGTCAGTCTTAACGTTTAAAAGCTGCTTCTTCTAATAAAAAGCCCCTAAGCTGTCAGTAGGGTCTTTTTGCTGTTCCCACAGAATATAAATAACCAGCCTGTTTGCGCTCCTCCAAAAGTCAGTGGAAGCTGGATTATTTCCATTCTGAACTGCGGTTTGCTCCCTTGATCGAGACTTCTCCTTTTAAGACCGCAACTTATGCACGTGCCTTCTGGAAGACCTTCAGGAAGAGCCAACTGAATAACTGTGCCATCGCATCTGGGAAGATATGCGTTTTAAGTACCTTAGTAAGGTGTAGTCTGCTTCTGAGTGCCCAGGCTGCCGGAACTGTGGAAAAACAGATTTATTTTTTTTTAACATACCTCCTATAGTGCCCGTTCCATTGGGCACCCTTAAACAACCATCATAAAGGGTGCCAGGGGACAGCCTGCTTCGAGCTGAGCCTCTGGATTTCTTGGGGAACAAAGTGAGCATGGTTACTCGCTGTCAGAGCAAACTCTTATCAGGAGAGCTACGATCATGCTGGCATTTCGGAGTTGGCCCTGGCTTTGCTGGGTGGAGCTGAGAGGTCAGCACAGGGAGACAACAAACTACACAGTGTGAAAAGGAATGATCTGAAGTTCTCCAGAAGTGAGAGACAAAGAGCTCTCGGCAGGATGTTTGCTGTGGGAGGGACCCTGATTGTGAAATGTGCTTTTCCACCTTCATTAACCAGAGCCAAGACTGAAGAGCTGCTCAGACACGCTCCAAGATTCTGTCCTCTTGCTGGCATACATCAAGGTAACGATAAGCCGTGTGAACAAAGGCCCCTGCGATGGAGGGAGGCTCCTGCAGATTTTAAGCTTAAATTTTCTGGGCGATTCCCTGAGAGCAATCCTTTCACAAAATACGGACCTCCTATCCCAAGCAAGCATGGTGTTGGAAAACGAGTCCAGACATAAGGAGGTGAATGCAGAGAAGAGCTAGTTTACATTTTAAATGCAAACAGAAGACCTATTCGCTTTGTAAAGTCTGGCAGGATTTCAGCAGCTCTCAGCATGTAGAGTTGGCTGTAATTTGTGACTGTGCCCGTGATCTCTGTTTGCGGCTCCCAGCACCATTTAGTAGGTGAGAAGAACAGAAATGGCTTTAAGAATGTGAAGGCAATTACCTGGGTGGGCATCACTGGTGGAACGGGAAGAGTGGATGATGCTTGGGCAGTCAGGTAGATGGTGCGTGATGGGACAGCCTCAGTGGTGCCTGTGGGCCAGCATCGCTGCAAGGGCTCCGAAGAGGTGATGGGCTTTCCAGGAGAGCCTCCCGAGCTGCAGAGGTCAGCAGCACCGTGGATCCCTGTCCCGAGGCAGTGGCATGAAGTGCTGAGGTGGACAAGCCTGTTCTCCCAAGAGGTGTGTTGGGTTGTGTGGGTTCATATCCACCCCCTGGGGCAGAACAGAGGTTTGGATCCATGTACTTGATATTCAGAGCAAGCGTTGCCGCTACTCGTCTTCTGCAGCAGCTCATCTCCTCTAGCTTGTGAGTGGTGTCTGAGTCAGCCCCATCCAACTGGTTTTTATTAAAAATGGCTTTAGTGGAACAAGCCCACGATTTAGTCAGAAGGAGCAACACAACAGTTTTTGCACGTTATGTTGGGATAAATTAACATCTGGGATTATTTTTATCAGTGACTCTTGTGGGCTTTGATTTCTTAGCCTGTTGGGGATTTTTTTTATTGTTTTAATCCATACAGTGAAACAATCCATAGATCCTTATGGATAAATTGCTGCAATAAAATGCAGCCTTCTAGCCCAAGCTAGTTGGACTCTGTTCTAACTCCTGCTTTGTTTAGCACGTCACTGTACATAGCCATAAAAGTCGCTGTCCTGCCAAGTCCTTTCCTTGTACACACATATGCATGTGCGTTCTCTGTGAGTGCTACTGGCTCTACTATTCCCCAGCCCTCTTCTACACCGCACCTCCCTTTCATATATGAGAAATGTCCTTTTTGATATTTACATATACTTATTAAAAATGTTAGGAGGTGTGAAGGTGCAGTCTTACAGTGATGAGCAGTAGCAAAATCCAGTCATGGCAGGGAAGGCTGAAATGAGGGCGGTTGAAGAAATAGTGAAGGGAAGCCGCAAAACTAATTGCTTAGAGGCGGAGGGGGAGAATTAGGGTGAGATCAGATGTCTATGTCAGCCTGTGAGCCAGCTCGGGACTGGAGGCTTTGCCGCTGACATCTTCTAGCCCAACGGTTTCATTGTTGTGTAGGCAGAGCCTAGATCCAGCTGGGCAACGCTTCTTACTGTTGTTGGTTTGGATATATCCTGTGTGTCATCCCTGCACAGTGCTAATGAGACATGGACATTCCTTCTTTACCCGTACAGTTACTGGGAATCCTGATAAAAAGGCAAGCAGTGGGAAGCCTGGGCAAAGACAGATGAGTGTGAGTCACCGAGAGACTCATGTTTGTAAAAGCTCTACAGTAAAGGTGCTTTTTCGATAGTCTCTCTATTGTGCTGTGTATGTGGGTATAATTTGTTGCTCGCTTGACCAGGAAGCGAGGAACAGACTTTTCAGTAATACTTATAAGCTATAGACAAGTGTGACAATTACCGTACGCAGGAAAAAAGTCCCTTTTGTCCACAGTTATTAATTACTGGTATTATGCTATTAGCACTTCCCATCTGGATGACATAAATGTCAGAAAAAATTATGGCCATCGCAGCCCAAGTGTACTTTGTGTGCTAAGCGTGATAAACAAAAACCCAGAAAGAACCCAAAAAGCGTCCAGTGATACAGAAAACAAAACTGTAGGCTGGAAATAGTTGTTTTGCTTTCTCTTCTGAAAACTGCTTCCTCCCAAAGAATGACGAAAAGGAGGAGGAGGAGGCTCTGATTGCTGGCTTTACTTTACTCTTTTCCCCACCCCGTGGACGTTGCCCCTGCGATTGTCCCATGCGCCTGGAAGGCTGTTGCACAAGACGCTTCCTAGCCTGTATGGTCACCTTTTTAGTATTAATTTTTTCCTCTTTAGGAAAACCCATAGTGAAAACCGTTGTGAGAGCATTTCTAAGGCAGAAACATGGGCATCAAGTAGTGTCAGCCATTGGAAGAGGCAAGGGAATAATTCAGCATAGTCTTTCAGATCGGAGGACTCTCCCCTCACTTAAAAGCTGCAGGGAAGTTACTCAGTGACCAAGTTCTCACTAATGGTATTAGAGGGCTGATAAACTCGTCACAAGTACGTGCGGAAATTTGGCAAGCCTTGTGGTGTTTGAGGTTTTAATTTAAAGCCTCTGATAACCTGGAGGCACATAGGTAAGGCAGTTTCAAGGGTTTGTCAAGTCCTTTTGACTTGAAGGATTGTGTAGAAAGGCTAGAAAAAGACCAGCAAAACTCCAATAGAAGCACGATGGGTTAAGTTTGTTTTTCTCTTTCTTAGGTTCCTTCACAATCGCTCTTAGTAAGGTGGACAACGTCACAGTTATGATTAAACTGAAGCCTCGTGTTTCACCAGGCTGTCAAATCCGTGTTAAATATGCCATCAGGTCTGAACTCAAGATAAAGCCAGGGGAGAATGTGACTTTTACTTTCACTTGTAATACTCCAGAGAAGTATTTCATCATGGAAATCCGGAAAAATATTGGTAAGATACAGGCTGTTATTTTTTTTTCCCCCCAATGGTAGTTTTACTCCGTTAAAACTACATGCCTTTTATTGTGTTACTCTATTAAGGCATCCCCTATAATCTTAAGAAGAAATCTTTGAACATAGATAAATAACCTTGAATTACTGAAGCTGTGCAAGTTTGAGAAGTCTGTATTATGGCTGGCAGAATGAATGTTAACTTGGCTGTTTTGGAAACAGTTATATGATAGTTTGTCGCATTAATTCTTTGTTGCCACCCCTTTTCCCACAGTCTGTAAACCCATAAAAAAATCTTTTTCCTATCAAAAGCCTCTGAGCACTGATAATGATATGTTATCCACCACATTTGTTGAACAGCTTGATTGTTTCCATAAGGGCAACAGAAACATGGATGGTACAGAGGTCTTTCCTTATATGTTATGAACATTAAGTCAAGAAACTGAAAATTTGGAAGTGTTGTAACTAAAGCTTTGTTTGCTTTAACTGATGCTCACAAGAGTTCATGAGATGTTTGCAAGATGCACTGGTGTTTTTTCTTTTAAGTTGGAGCCTAGACACAGATTAAAGTATGCTTATTTTAATGTCCAGCTTGAAATACCCATAATTTGCATTTATCAGATAAAACAGTTTCCTAAGTTCTCCCCAGAATCCCGCAGAGACAGTTGGTGTTATTCATCCCTTCTGCAAAATCTGAGGCCCAGGTTGTTCATCAGGGCACCAAGGAAATGAAGATAGGATTCATGGCAAGCAGTGGAGAAATTTTAAGATGAATGTTTTGCCAGAAATTCTCTGAGCAAGATGGGATAATTCTCTAAATCCGTGATTTCCAGCTCTCCTGACATCTCATTTCTCCCTTTTTCCCATCTGGCATTCTACCCTATTCACTAAATACTTCCTAAGTTCTTCAGCAAACAAGGCGGGAGCACTCGAGACAACAAATCCTCCTCTTAGTCAGCCTGACTGGAGCAGGTTTATCCTGTCGGCATTCTGGGTTGGGAACCCTGGTCAGAGACAGCGTGTGACCATGTTACAGGAGGGTCTTTTCAGGCACGTAGAAATGCAACCTGAAAAACTGTGAAAATAGCAATGGAGGGGAAGGTGTCAAATTCCTTGTTCACTTGCGTGCTTTCCGGAGCACATCATGGCTGTTCTCTCTCTGTGTTTAGACTGCGTGTCAGGCCTGTGTCCCTTTGGAGATGTTCATCTTTACCCAATGGGGCTACCTCGCCTCAACAGGACTTTTGTCTGGGACGTGAAGGCGAGTACAAAGGCCGGACTCGAACTGAAGTTTTCTACCCCGTGGCTAAGACAGATTGAGCCGGGAGAGACGTGCCCCGATTCCGTTCGCTACAACATCAACAGCTGCGTCGATACGGCCACGGTCAACATCGGCACCTTCTGCAGGAACGGCTCGGTGTCACGCATCAAGCTACTGGGTGGAGTCATCATGTCTCTGCACCTCTCCTGGGACTCGCCTCTCACCACCTCAGGCTTCAACATCGCTAATAGGGCTTCCATCAAACGTAAGTAAGGAGTGGTGTTTCCTAACCAGTAATCACCTCGTGCGGGTTGCACGGAGTTACTTAAACCTTTCTTCTCAGGTAACCTAGTTCTGGTGCTGCTATCCCTAGCTCCCTTCCACTTCATCTTTTCTAAAAGCTGTTGTTGTGTGGCTTTAAGTTTGGTAGCTGGTGCTCTTCTGGGGCCAAAATAGCTTAGTTTGATTGGTTAATAGTTGTGAAAACGGTTGTGTTGCTGCTTTTGAGGCACATTACATGTTTTCAATCTCTTTAAGCTTCATAAAACTCAAACACACCTATCCTGTTGGTTTTGTGTTTTCCGCTAGGTGAGACTAGATAGCATAATTAAAATAAGCAAAGAGAGTTATTTGCTGGTTTCACTGTGTAGCTGGTTTCATTTATTTTTAAATAAAGCTTCCTTAACTTCTGGAGCCTCAAACTAATGCTTTTCACAGGAGAGGAAGGTGGGAAAAGGAGCAGCAGTGCCTGGAAGGCGCAGGAATCTGCTTAAATACAACTTGCATGGTAACATCTTAAAATACCTGCTACATAGCAATACCTGTTACATAGCAATCAGTGGGTTACTCTGTGATCTCATGAGAGACCCTCTTTGGGAGATGTTCTTGCTCTGTGCTTGAGTTTAGCAGTTGTCATTCTTGGTTATAAAAGGAACCTGGCCTGGGTTCGAGCTTCCAGAACACAGATTTCTGTAACTCCTGGAGCCCCTTGCAGTTGCACCTCATTGCTGGAGTCCTAGAGCGGGACTGTAAGCTCTGTGTTTTCCAGAATCTGGTGAGGCAGAAGCAATTATCAGGCTGCATGTTTGTTTTTGCTAAGCCGGGAGCAGAAGTAGGAACTAGGATCCTTCCTTTCCGAAAAACAAAGGCTTGGCTCTCCATGTGCTTGAAAGGTTAACCCACTAGCTGAAAGTGCAGCATTAATGTATCTCTTAGTTTTTTGTAATTGAAGACAAAAGCATCGACTTGAGATAAATGTTTTATTCTGAGGGGTTTTTGCTAACCTCATGTGTAGCTGAAACGGGTGATCTCACTGCTGAAATAAAAATATTCTGCTGCTGGATAGGCCAGTCTGTCTTCATGAATTGTGACTTGTTTCTTGTGGGTGCTTTTCCCTGTCGTATTAGGATTATGCATTATTGAATCCGTTTTGAATGGGGAATCTTCAGTCACCCTGATGTCCCCAAATTACCCACTGGCCTTCCCAGAAGACGAGCTCATGACGTGGCAGTTTGTGATTCCTTCCAACCTGAGAGCGAGCGTGTTTTTCCACAACTACAGCCTCTCCAACTGCGAAAGGAAAGAGGAGAGGGTGGAGTACTACATCCCCGGTTCCCTCAGCAACCCGGAGGTGTTCAAGCTGAGCGACAGCCAGCCTGCCAATATCGCTGGCAGCTTCAACCTGTCCCTGCAAGGCTGCGACCAAGATGCCCAGAACCCAGGTGTCCTCCGCTTGCTCTTCCAAGTCATCGTTCAGCACCCACAGGTCAATGAGAGTAAGTATCTACCTGCTCTTTCCATTGCTTTTGCTTACACATGCCTGGATTGAGCACACCCAGGAAGAGAAATAAGGTTTTTCTGGTCATTTTTCTTGGACCCTCCTAGGTGGGTTGCCACCTAGTTCTTAAAGTACGAGCCCAGGTCTCTGCACTGTCCATAAGCAGTTGCACTTAGCAAGGTGAAACCTGCTATCATGGTAGGTAGTGAGAGCCGTAGCGTGATGGTGAAATGAGAGATGTAAAATTGTCTCTATGCTACTAATGATATGATGCTACCTGAGTTCTTATTACACTGATGGAAAGAAGTAAATAATGTTTGCTTGGCTAATAGAAAAATTACTATATCAGCTGCTTATTTCATGAGATGAGCGTGAAGAGATGGAGGACATTCTGCTTTTTGCTAGTAGTTGCTCTAGGATGTTTTTCATTGCAGATGTCACCCATGTGGTTGACCTGAGCAAGGAGCGGAACATGACTGTGACGATACACTTCGAAGGGTGGCCCAACCGCCTCCCGCTCACATCCGAACCGATGTGCCTGATCTGTAAGGATCCTCGCACCTGCGACCGCGTCTTGACTTTAATGTCTGGCACCACGTACAAGATCTCTTTTCTGTGCAAGGACTTGTCCCGGCTGAGGATCACAGCTGAAAAAGGCATAAGTATGACAAAAGCAGCTTCACATTGTTTCATAGGGAATGCTTGGGTTTTAAATAGAATGTGGTTGGAGACCAGGCGTTGGCCAGCTGGGACACAGGGACAGTGAGTCTGGAGATGACCTAGTTGTTCGCTACGTTATTCTGCCTTTAAAGATAGAAACTGCAAAAATATGAAACGGAGCAGGAGAGCCATAAATCTGCCCGTGAAGATGTGAGATCAAGGTTGCCATCAGGAGAGTAACTTGTGCCACTTGCATGTCCACTTGGTGTAGGATTTTCCCAAGTGCTTTCAATTACTGATAGAGAAAGAGTTTTAAAGTATATATCTGGGCCTTGGCTAGCCTGAAACAGTGTCCCCATTAGCAAGTGATAAAGCAAAATATCCTAATAATGAGAGATTTTGGTTACGTTGATATCTGTTGGTTTCTTTGGTGTCCCGCACCCTTTTAAGAAAAGCTCTTGAAATACAGATGATATGTGCTTGGATAAAGGTTACTGAGAGAGGATACTTTCTCAGGTAGATGCTTATGTGGGTCTGTAACACAACCCTGACAGTGCTCTCTGCGTGTGTGCTTGCACACGTACTCTGGTACACGGCAAAACTCATTTTTCCTAGATATTTCCTCTGCAAGAAAAATAGCAATCCTGGGGACTTGAATTTTGTGATTGCAGGCTGTGTTGATCTTCGGTGGTGCCAGAGGAAGATCTATTCCCTTGTGGTGCCCAAGGCCATTACCCAATTGCCAATCCGTCTGCATAAGTTTATTTGGAAAATCCTGGCTCCCGACCTGATCAACGTGGAAATTACATCTCCATCCTTGAAACTTCAGCAGCATGTCCCAGAGCAGAGGTGCAACACAAGCTACAGTTACGGCATCGTGAGTGCCACCCCGGAGACGGAGTTGAATGTTGGTGTTTTCTGTCCTGGTGGATCTATTGAAAAGATTCAGATGAGGAATAATATCACTGTATCTTTAAAAACCTTTGGTAAAGGATTCCTCAACGAGTCAGACCATCAAGATCTGAAAATGTCTTTTGTGCCACATATTAAAGGTAAGATGGTGCTTTGTGCTGCTTTTTTGTGCAGTGTCTGATCTCTTAATACACTTATTAGAGCACATACAGATAAATAGAAATAAGAGTTTACTCCTTACAATCCAATCCTGGATCCATTGCTTGGACTGATCTTCATCTGAGTCAATGAGTGGTTTATTCCTGGAAGAAGGAATGGACTTTGAACTCCAGGTGGTAGATAGTTGGTTGCAGGAAATGCTGCAGATAGATCTGTGCTAATTGTGATAATTAACTGCTGTGGAAGGGGTGAAAGGTGAGTTGTGTTGCTGGCACTGAGTATATGACTGGTACTGACTGTATACATTTGCGGCTCTCAGGTATAAGTGATGCTTTTTGACTACAGAGAAGACAGACCAAACAATTTTACCTGGTGAAAGAGAAAACTTTTAAGAAAAGAAAGTACTGAAACTTCAGTTTCCCTTTGTTTATTCTCTTCCCTTGCTACAGATGAGTGTATTTTCACCGTGAGTCCAGATCCAAAAGCTAAAGTTTACTTGCAGACCCCCAACTGGCCGTACGGTCTGCCTCCCTATGTCTCTGTCTCCTGGTACGTCGTCATCCCCAGCAAGCAGGTCGCCCGCCTTGGGTTCTCCAAGGACCGAATGGGCATCTCTTGCGAGACGGGCCGTGCCTACGTCAACATAAAGGAGGAGGCACCAGGGGCAGAGGAGACCGTACGCCGCGAGGACGAGCTGCTGCCCCAGCCTCGAGATATGTACCATGACTTCTGGGTGAATGTCTCCAACTGTAAACCCGTGGAGGGGACGCAGCTGACCTTGCAGTTTTGGGTGACTTTGGCTGACAAGTCGATTGGTGAGTCCTCTGAGATTGCAGGGCTTCCTTTCCTGCTTATGTCCTTGCTTTCCCATGGGGCAGCAGTGGTGGATGCTTGGCTGCCTTGAGCGTGGGGGATTTATGAGATCCCTGCCTTCAGAAAGAGTTACAGCTGGCTACTCCTACAGGCTGAGGAGGAAGGAGGGGTTTTAATGTGGTGTTTGGTGGGGCTTTTTTTGTGGGTTTGTTTTTTTAATGTTATGATGCAAGGGCTTGCAGAGCTTGAGAGGAGTTAAGGCTGAATTTTTAAATTTTTCTTTTTTATTTAATTTGACTTTTTAAAATTGGCAATCACAATCAGAAAGTATAAGGAGATCAGGCGATGTTTTTTTCCCTCCTAAGGTCACAGACCTAGTGATGATTTGGGATTTTATTATGCAAACGTATTTGTCCCAGTAGACTTGACTTTGTGTTAGCAGTTCAGTTAGTCTCAGTGTTCACATGAGCAAGAAATCATCCCTGCAGCAGGTATGGTCATTTAGTGGAGAGTGCCCTGACTACTGGCAGCAAAATCTGCATTCTTGGTGTCTCTCATCTCCCTAAAACACACATAATTTAGAAAAAAAAAAAAGACACTCTTTGGGTAGGCTTTGCTCATGTAGACTTGCTTCATGTTTGCACTTCTTCTTAATGTGAGGGATACTGCTGTCTGTAAAACTATTGGCTACACAGGCTAAAGCTGAAACAATATAAAATTAAGTTCTAATTTTTTTCCTTTTTCTCTCTTTCTTTGGTAACATACATTTCTTTTAAAATATGCAGCCATTGCTCACACATGGACTTCCCTGTTCAATTTCATAACTCTTGGAAAACCCCAGGTCAACACAACTTGCCTATTTCAGAGAAAAGTATTGTATTGGGGGGGGAAGTCAGTGAAATTTAACTGTTTCTTTTCCTGAATCACTCTCTGTCTCTCTCTGTGCTTTCTCTTCTTCCCTGCCTCTTTGGCTGGAGGCGTGTGAGATGCTGCAGGTAAGTTCAGTTCCATGGTGAACTCTTGGTGGCAGGGTGGGTTGGCCAGGCCTTTGGCTGTGCCTCACTGCTGGCAGCCAGGGTTTGTTGTTGCTTGGCCTCCAAGCTCTTGGAAATGGCTCAGAAACCCCTGCTCTGCACGCAGCTGGCACACTCGTGAGGAAACTCATGAGGATGTCCCAATGCAGGTGGATTTTAGGAGCAAGGTAGATGTTTCCTCTCTCTTGCTCAGTGTCCTCCTACCTTGTCTGTTTGCAGACCTAGGAATGATCGTCGCTGTGGTGGCCGGGGCCGGAGTTCTCGTGGCTATCGTACTGACCGTGTGCTGCGTTAAGAAGAAGTAAGTTTGTAATTTGGCACGTGTGACTTAGCGGTTACGGGAGGTGTTTTGGGCGAGCTGCAGGGCCCTCTCTCTGTCTGGGGTGTCAATACAGATGCCTTGAGCAAGGGTCTGAAGCAGGAGGTAGGCAATGGTGGTGGAAGTAGCGCCATGTTGGGAATACTGCTTTTCTGTAAATGGACTGACTTTAAGAGTCATCGGAGTTAACTGTGCAGACCCTAGGGCCACCAGAGCAGCAGTAGGTAACCAAATAGCCCGAGGTTATTTTTTGCTCTGTTAAATAAAGGACATCTAGACTCGAGTTATATTTCCTAAGATTGCAAGTTAAAGCCTTCAATCCAGGGGGACTGCCTGGAGCTGGGGAGTAGACAAGCAGAAGCCATTGTAGTTGCATTTGAACGCACCAGCCATGCGGTGCCTCTGACCTGTTGATGATTTCAACTCCGTACCAGGAAGAAGAAAATCCAGAGTCCCGCAGTGGGAGTGTACAACATGAATGTGAATACCCAGGTGCCTAGAAAACAAGGCTTGTTCACAAAAGGGAGGAAAACCAACGAGTCGCATGTCTATGCAGTTATTGACGATGCTATGGTCTATGGGCACTTGTTGAAGGAATCCAACGGCTCAGTCACTCCAGAAGTCGATGTGTACCGGCCTTTTGATGGACCCGTTGGTAGCTTGCCACCTTCGCCACCTCCCTTCTTTAGAAAAGACATTAAACGCTCTTCTAACACAGAGGAGCCCCCATCTCTGACAGACACAGACCATGACACTTACACATTTGCTCATCAGAAATTGGGGCTGTCAGAGGACAATGGGGATACAAATGAAAAGAATGATGGAGATACAAGTGTGTCCTTGCTGGAAAATAAGGAACAAGATGATTCAGTAATGTTAAAAGAGGCATAGCAGTTTCCTGTGGAAATAGGTGTAAGGACCAGGGTCTAGGAAGAAGAGCTCAAGAGTGTTATTTTAAAATGTGTTTTGATGTTGTTTTACTTTGTGCGTGTGTTTATTTTTTTATATTTTTAAAGTTCAGCTGTTGATAGCTTTCGGTTTTTAGAGTGAACATCTAACAAACTCAAAACCCATCGAGATGCTCCAGGACTGCATGCACTTCTGGCTGTGGAAGGTGGTAACCTCCCACTTTTTTATTAGAAAGACATAAAGAAAAAGGAATTTCTAAACACCAACTTAAAACTGTGGCAATTAACAGTGGGGAGAGCCCTTTGTCTGGTATTTACTCCTCCCATAGTCTGAATTTAACAGCCACGTTGAAATGATGCAGCTCTTGATTTCTAGTGGGACTTGTACGTCAGTTGTGTAACTACCTTCAAAAGGCACCTCTTGTAATCAGGTATTTACAGGGCTCGTTTTTAAGTGCTGTAGTTAGCGTGCCCCTCCATTTCTGCGCCTTTTAAAACGTGAGGGTCCCATCCTTGGGCAGGGGACTACAGGTATATGAATAAAGTTGCCTTTTATGTACAAACATCTGGCTTGTCCAGATGTGCAGTTAGCAAGGATGTTTACATGTGCCGCTAGACTCAGACGACTTGAGAGCTTTCTCTCCAAATGTGGCTTGCCTAATGACATTCAGAGGTGCCATAAAACTTTTAGACAATGTTGCATGCCAAAACGTTAAACATAGAATAAGACCTAAATTTACATGTCTTTACTAGAAATCTTACTGTTTACATTTTTTAAAAAAACGTGTGCCAGTGAAAAGTGCCTTTTAATTATTTCAGGTATTTTCCTGCTTATGTTTATCATTTAATATAGCAATGTGTATTTCCAGGTCCCGGGTGAGTCACTGGGATCACATATTTCCAAGTGTCCTGGGCCATTTTAATGCCATTTGAGAACTTTTAAAAAGATTTTTGCAATACTGATATCTTATTTTCTCAGGTAACGGAATTGCCACAATGCATTTTTATCAGGGTAGTCCAGTTGTAGGTTTGTCTGGTCAGTATTTCTCACTTTTATTGAAAAGGAATGAGAAGTCCATAGGAGAAATTCCTCTGGCTCGGTTTCTGCAGTTGTTTAGATGAAATTTTTTAGCTCACTTTCTTTCTAACCAACTGTTGAAAACTTAATGGAAGTTGGGCTTTTGTTCACAACCTCTTGATCTTTGAAGGAAGGTGATGATACTCATTGACTTGGATTTTTATTTCTTCTATTTTAACTTAGCTTTTGATATGGCAAGATAAACCTTAGTTCACAGTGTTTCCAGTCTAAGGTTAACTTTCACAGTGCTGCTTTTGGTACGTTTAGAGTAAGAGTTCAGGCACAAATTCCAGTTTGCTTTTCATTAAGAGAAAGTTATGAGTAATTTTTTTAAAAAATATTAAAATATAAAATATACTACCAGCTGGCATAACTAGTGTTTGTCTTTTTTGTGTGTCTGTAAACTCAGCCTCGAGTATTTTGACATCCGACTGTTGGCAGCTTCTCCATCACCCTTAGTGATAGAAAAGGGATTCTAGAGAATCTAGTTTGCTGGCATAACACACTGCTGGCTGTGCGCGTCTTTTTTCTCATGTAGCCAGTGATAGGCTGTTAATTGCTGTTTTTAAAGGCTCATGTTCAGATCCCTGGAGAAAAGGCTTATAAAATACTTGAAACTTTCACATAAAAATAAGTAGTTCGGTGGCATTGTATTACTGTGAAGAAACTGCCCTAGGCTACCTGTGAACACGACAGAGAATACAATGAAGTATGTGAGTGGTGTTGGGGAATTCTGTGGAATTCAGTGGAAAACTGATCCAGCCTGGAGGAAGGAATGGTCCTTTACAGGGACTTACTTAAAAACTTCTGGCATGCTGTTCCATCCGCATCAGTGAAGCATGGCAAATTGTTTCAATTAGCAACACTCCTAATGTCTGAAAGGGTTTGTTTGCGGTTTGGGCCGCATCCCTCTCTTGTATTAAAGCATTGCTACACACCAATCAGGATTTATGTTTCTGGGCAAGATGAATCTTCAAAAATGGAAGGAACTGCTTTGTTTCTTGCTATGTTTATGTGTGCTTGTGTATTTTACAGAGGGCATTTATCCTGGTGACAGTCACGGCTGGGGAAGGGGTGCCATGATGCACCCTGTCAGAGATGCTCTAACAGAGCACTGCTCCATCAGCACACAGAGGGTTTAGTTAAATCACTGTTCAGCACTTAACCTTTGCTGATGGAATGTCTTCAGATAACTTTATCCAGCGGCAGGAACATGGGATACTACCTTTGTCAATGTTGATAGTGAACAGGGCTGAGAGGTGGAGCCCACCCTTTGGGTTTTGGCCAAGAAACTGGTCATGTCTAGGTCACAGCTGAGGAAAATGAGAGAGGGCAGAGGAGCTCTCCTGTGCAGTGCAGGGTGCATTTGTGCCTGGGGGCTCAAATTTCATCCTTTTTCACAAAGCTGCTGCTGTAATAGCGTTTGCTGCGATTAGTGCTGTTGAGGTTGCAGTAAATGCACTAACCCTGCCATGAAATTACTGGCACAGCTAAAGTGTGGTGATACAGTGGAAGAAGGATGTTGAATCAAGTTTTCCAGGCAACCTTAATTTCCATGTTTTCCTGAATTTTTATTTTTAATTCTTTTCAAGGTCCAGGGATTTACAGCCTTAATATCTCTTACTTTGCGTGTGTGTGTGTTGTCTTTTGTTGTGGGGCTGGAACATAGAGATTACTATCTGGTAGCCTTTGGAATTTTCCTTTGAGAAAGCTGGATTTGCCCTGCAGCTCTGCTAAGAGCAGCTGGGGAGCAATTCAATGGCAGCTTGTACTGGAGATGAGCAGGGGTGAGAGGCTGCTGTGGTCCCTGCCTGCTTCATCTGCCTGGGGAGGCTTGAATTTTGCTGAGAACTGCGTTCCTGGACCAACTATGGCTTAAGACTCCAGGCATGTGTAATTCCTCATTGCTTATGTTAGGCTCCAGGACTGTCTTATCACCTGATAAAAGTCATGAGGTGGTTTTACAACTGGCTGTGGATGCTACCTGCACCTGCAGTTCCAGCAGGCTTAAAAACAGGGTGCTCATACAGGTTGTTCTAACAATTCTTGTCAATGTTTAAAGAAGGCAAAGTTCTCAGTAATTATTTCTGTTTGTTTTCAAGCTTTCTGTGTTTTATGTGGTTTCCATTTGGTTTTTTTCCCCCCAGCACCATGCTTTCAGGATTGCTTATCTTTCTCAAGCAATACACTACAATTATTTGCTGTGTCTGCATCCCTTTTCAGTGCATAAATTTTAATTTAGGAGTTAAAGAAGTGCTGGTTCTGTGTCCATATTGCACATGAAATGCCGGATGAAATTCAAGTTTCAGCTCTTGTCTTCTGATCACAGTTGGCAGAGCAGCAAGACGTAGTGTCTAGAGCTCTGGTGACATTACGGTATAGAAATCGCGTCCCGCGAGAGTTTACCACCTTTCTTGCTAACCTCATCTGTTAGGTGTCTGAGGTGATCAGTCTTCCTCTGAAATGCCTGGTTTTCTCCTGTGAAATCTTTTTTTCCTATAAAAGGATTCCCTGCCTGTGTCCCACATGTGGCTGGGATGATAACAAGGCAGGAGGGGATCCTATAAACCATATCACAGGGTGGGAGGCTCTTGCTCTGTGTGGTTTTTTTCCCTCTGACAGATCCCTGGAGCTGCTCTGACAGGAAATTCAAGGAGAGGCAAGCGCTTCAATCACACTGACGCAACTCCACTCCTTCAGCAAGCTGTATATGTATTTTTATTTTATAGTCATTTGAACAGCGGAGAGTTTGGCAACAGTGACAGCCTCAGAAGTGCTCTGCATGTGTATGTATCTCGATGCTCCCACTCCATGTCTTAGACTACCCACCATTATGTTGTTTTTAAACAAAGCAGCACATGGAAACACCTCTCCCGCGGGCTCCCTGAGTGCCTCGTACCTTGACACCCCCAACCTTTTTTTTTTTTCTTTAACCTTTTTTTCAGCAGAAGATGACTGGTGCCAGACCTTCATCTGGGCATGACTTTATTGGCATAAACAGTAATAGGCGCATTTATGTTTGCTGAGGGCTGTGCCCAGACCAAGACTGGACTACGTCAGCTTCATTTCCATCACAGAAACAGGCCAGATGATTCCTAAAGCTGCTAAAGTGAGTTGTCTTGGGGTTTGTTTTTGACACAGTTTTTTGTGGCAGCTTATCCCCTAATAGCATTATGTTTCTGTTATTTATGTAATGCTTTCATCTTCTACTTCCAATAATATATTTGAACAACTATGCTGCAAATCATCCCTGCTCCCCTCATGATGCTGGAGCATAAATAAAGCTTCCCATGGGATATTTGTTTAAAAGATCTGGCAGCAGGTCTCGCTCTCCCACTGAAATCAGCGGAACTGGCTTCTGGCTGCTAAGAAAAGGACCAACAGAGCAGGGAATGCTTTGGGAAAGGACACCCGCCCCCTCAGTAAGTCATTGGCGCCTGCTGCTTGCTAATTGATTCATGCATGTATTGGGATAAGGCGGACAACCCCCCAAGCAGCTGGTACTCAGCCCATGAACTCAATTGTATCTCTTAATGCAAAGCAGGAGTAACTCCCTCTGCTCGTGGAGACAGCACCTCGGTCCCCAGGAGCCTGAATCAGGGTACTGTGAGGAATGAGGAGCTCCCAAGGATTTCTGCTGGGGTTTACGGGGAAGCAAAGCAGGAGAAACAAGCAGGAACTGGCTGTGCTGGTGTCCCAGCAAATCTCAGCAAAATGGGAAAGGATGTGGCAGAGCGATGGCCCTGGACAGTCAAGGCAGCTGTTCACCAAGCACCAGTTCTTTGCTGCAACAACTGAGCCATCCTAATAAATTCCCTATGTAAAAAAATATATCTATAAATTGTGCCTTGGTGAGAACGATGCAGCTGCTAACGGGGCTGGATGTGGCAAAACAATGCTCTAACGCTCTCTAATCTGACACTGAGCCGCAATGACTATCTTTGCACAGAGTGTCTCTACTTGAACGTGCGTGCAGGTGTATTCATACCTATAGCTTCCTAATCCTGCTGCCGAGCCGGGAGATCCAGGTTGCAACAGGGAGGTACCCCTTGCCGCTACACAATCATGAACTGACAGACGTAGGGCAGCTGGTCCCTGCACCTCTTGTCGAACCACTTGCCTGCAGCAGCCCCTGACAACGCCGCGCAGTTTTCCAGCTTGCCGCCATCAGGCTGGGTGGTGATTTCAGTCTCCCAGTTCTTGTAGCGGACAGGGCCGCCTGTCATGTCGACCCACTTGCCCTCAGGAGGCCCAGCCAGATCTCCGCCTCGGAGCTGATGCTCTTGCGCATGTAGTCGTAGAGAGCGTCGTTCTCCTCCCCGTTCTGCGGGGTGCTGAGTGTGCCGCCCTGTGAGATGCAGCTCTCGCTGGCTTCGTGATATGTCTTGGTCTCCGAGAATGCAAGAAAGCATTTTAGGTGAATTTTGGTGCCTTTCAGGCAAACTGAGAGGTTACCACACAAACAGGACAAAAAGAGACAGAAAGGGAATTGGTTTTAAAAAAGCTGGGGAAAGAGGTGGACAAGTGACAAAACTTCATTAGTTAGCCTGCACAGAGATCCTTTGGCAGCACCAAGTTCGTGGGGATGTGCTCCCCTCTCCCACTAACCCACAGCCCTGGCCTCACTCTTCCCCGGCTGCTGCAACACTTTCTCTCTGATGAGATTATAATTATTTTTTTTTCAGAGGCCAAGTTAGTTGCCAGGAGGGCTGAGGTGTTAGGAGTGTTTTGGAAAAAAGTCTGCACTTTCAATTCAACCATCTTAAGCATGCAAGTGTGCGAAACACGTCCTTTTTTTTAATAGGCTTTGATCAGAAATGTGTATGCATAGCTTGAGGTCTTCAGAGGGAATTTCTGCTTGCCTGATTTTATTGTTAAGAATAGCAAATTATTATATATTTTTTAAACTCTAAACCCCAAGAGTGTAGGGTACTCTGGCCAAACAATAATCAATCAGACCCACACATTAATATCCACATAAATGAATGTGAGCTTGGATCTAAAGCCTTGATTTTGCTCATGCTCCTTTTCTTTTAAGGAGAAAATTCTTGCATTTTCATTTTACTTCTGTTTCCTATTTGCAAATCCCTCCTATCAGTGTCAGTGGTGTTTGTACAGAATACCTGCGGAGCATGGCCGGCAGATGGACAATCTGGGGATTGTCCTCTGTGTGTGCTCAGTGAAGCGTGGTAGGACTGACCTCCAGGGAGGTTCCCTGGGCTTCAGGCAGAAGAGTAAGCTACCTTCGACTAAAGCACAGACTAATCCATTACCCGTCTGTCTAACTCATACAGGAAAGTGAACATCTGGTTTAGTTTCACAGAAATAGCCGCAGCTTTACAAATGGGAAGCTCTAACCCCTAAGCATTATAAGCATTATAAGCAGCTCCTCTCGCAAAGCAAAAGCCGTGCCACCTTCAGCAGATCCTGTACCTGTCTGGAGTGCCTGCTTTTCCTTCAGTAGAGCAACCTCCTGAGAGATGTTGTCAATCATGGCCTTCAGGTCTTCGATCATTTTGAGGCTCACTCCATCTGCTGGGGAAAAGCCAAGGAAGGAGCATAAATATTGGCTGTGTTGCCTGGTGAGGGAGCTGAAGCTGTTCCTGTTGTCAAAACTCCTCGTTTCTCTGCCCTCGAGAAGGAGGGGCAAAAGGGACCTGCAAAGCCAGTACAGGTGCACAGGAGGAGAGCATTAAACCACTTTACTCATTGCTCAATTAACCTCAATGAGTTGGCTTAACACCGAGGCACTGGTTATTATTTGGTTGCCTTTGATGAAAACACTTGGTGGGAAATAGCTAATTAATGCCTTTTTTTTTTTTTTTTCCATGCAAGCCTCTCTTGCAGCAGAACTAAAGTCATTTAGGTCTAAGTAGCATCCAAGGGCCACAGCAGGACACCACCCGTCAGTCTTGCTGAGGCAGCTCCTTACGTGGTTCCAGCTGGGTTTGCTGGTGGGTTCTTGTCTGGAGGGTCCCCACCAACTGAGGGGCCATGTCTCCTTGATAACTGCCTTTTTCACCACCCCTTTCCCAAATCCCAGGCCACAAGATGTTCCTACAGCAGCGAGAACTCTCTTGCCCAATTTTCCTCATTCTAATTATATGCTGAATAACAAACACATCCCTCTCTGCTTAATTTTGATTATTTAACTATCCTGATAATAATTCAGATCTAAATCTGCATAGATTTGCCTGGGCAGGCATCGGTCAGTTCGTCCCCAGGCAAACACATAAAAATAATTAATTCTGTTCTCCAGAGGGGCAAGCATTGCTCTGGTTTGCTAAAAATGTTCCCAGCCACCTTTTTTTCCGATCCCAGGTATTTCCAAAAAATGTCCCAGCTGGAAAAGTCTGGTCTCTTATTAGAGTCCATTCCCTGGGTCAGAGGAGGAGATGGAATACACTCACGCTGGGTTTATTTCAGTGTAAAATCTTCACAGGCATTTTCAGCTACAAGATCAACAAGAAATTTTGTTCAGGGAGAATTTACTGAACTGGAAAAAAATCACTGGGGAGCAATTGGAGGGGGCAAGAAACTCGGCAGCAGGCAATGCGAATGCGCAGTGTAAGCATTTCCCAAATGCTATGGTTTGGCTTTTTGTGTTGAAACAGCACCATTTTTGTTCTGAAACAGATCCAAATGTAAGCAATAATAATAAAAAAAAAAGGTTAAAAAAAGAAAAAAAAGTTTGGCTCAAATTGTTTTCTTTTCAAACATTTGCGGTTTGGCTGCACGTTTTAAAAATAAATAAATCCAGCCAAACACCCCAACCCTTTGGGGGATTCACCCTGCCTGCCCCTCCCCAGCGAAGGGCAAGGGGTGAGCTGGGATGGGAGTGCTGGAGGCCTGAGATGGGGAAGGAATGGGGCCATCCCACCGAGCCCCAGCCCCTGTGGCACGTGGGCAGGCAGGCTCGGACATGGTGAGGGGCTGGGGGGGAAGGGGAGCCTCATAAAGGGATTTTTAGAGCTTTCCTCCCTCTTTCTCCTCCACTGGCATTGGTAAAATTCAGAAAAATGCTAACCAAGAAACGCTGGAAGTTTCCAGTAAAGGCAGGGCAGCTGACCTGCTGCAGGGCTGGAGGTGGCTGGCTAAAAAATGCCAAGTTTGTGGTTTGGGTTTTTTTTCCCTTTTCCCCACAGAAAACTGTATCTCTCCTTTGAAAAGAAACTCCCAAGCTCTCAGTGAAAACTGCCACCAGCCGTTCGAGATGGCTTGGTTTTCAGGACGCCCTCCTACAAACCATTTTAAATCAGAGCCCAATTTTCCTGTCAAAAAGGTGATTTTTCTCCCACCTTCATGTCACCAATTGGTTGCAGTGATACGGAGAAAAAAAAATCAGATTTCTCTAAGAAATGTATCTCTCTCCCTGGCTACTTCCAGGGCGTGCAATGCATGTGTGTACCCCATAAGAGCCTGAGGAATATTTTTTTTTCTCTGGAAAGCAGCCACAGGCTAGAGATGTGGGATGAGCAACAACACTGCGATTTCATAGAAAGATCTAATGGGATATTAAAAAAAAAGGAAAAATTTTCTTCAGCGTGGGATCTGAAAATAACCACTGGCTGAGCACGGAGATCAGCCAGGCCAAGTGAATTCCTGGGATGTTTCTCCTTCGTTCCAAGCAGGAGATCCACAGTGGCAGGCTGCGACACCCGCAGCTTCCTTACCTGCCCTCTCCTGTAATTAATGTGTGCTGAATGGGAGGGAGAAAGGATTGGACAGTAGTGGGGAGGAAAAAAAAAAAAAAGGAAAAGGAAAAGTAAAAGTAAAAAATAAGGATCTTTTTGTGTACACTGCCCTGTGTTAAGGCTGAGTAGTGGGCACTTGCTTGTGGCTTGGCAAATACCTGGGGCAAGTGTTTGAAAATGAAGCTTCACGCTGATATTTAATGGATTGTTTACTGTCTTTAAATCCATGACGGCAAGCTGTCACTTGCCACCTATTTGCTTCTGAAAAATTCATGAATAGGGGGTTTTAAAGGCGGAGGTTTTAACAGAGGGAAAAGTTTGGAGTTGGCCTCTGAAACCCACCCCAAGCTGTCCCGCCAAATTTATGCCATGTAGGAGACACAACAAAAACATTTCGATATCCTCACTATTTAAGAGAAGAGCTGCTCCACCACTCCCATGGGAGTGGGGGAAAAGAAAGAAGACACTTTACGAAGGTGTTTTATAAACAGTGTCATTAAACCACCAGAGTAATTGCATCCCCCCCAGCCTCCCCTCAAAGCTTTCCTTTCAAGGAAGGTGCTGCCACTTCTTACCTTTCTTGGAAACTGCTGGTTTTGGCCGGGCTTTGGAGTTTTGCTGACCAGAAGAGACTTGGGCAAGGGAGAGGACGAGGATGAGGAGGAGGAGGCAGGCTCCCCGGATCGCCATGCTGTCTGGCTAGATCAATTTAATTTTTGCAAAGCTTAATTGCAATCCTCTGTTCTGTACAATTAGCTACATGTTAACCTTTTTTTTTCCCTCTGTAGTAACTGCAATAAAGAATCAGTGCAATCATTTAGCAATACAGAATTCTAAAAAAAAAAAAAAAAAAAAAAAAGGAATGAAAGCCTGCTAAACTGTGAGCCCAGCTTGGGGCAGTCTCCTACGTTTTTGAAGCGGAATGGCGCAGGTTTGGTCGCATGGGGCAGCAGGTGTGACAGAGCGGCCAGGTGCTCGAGGGAGGAGAGGGGCCAGCCCAGCACAAGGTCCTGAGTGGCGATTTCTGGTTTATCCCCTTGACAAGGGGCTGCTGCAATCCCCACAGAGGTTTTTTTGGTTTGTTTTGTGGGGTTTTTTAACTTGTTCAAAGCGTAGGACAGCTCTTATGGCTTCAAAACCCAGTCCCACCCTGCCAGTTATGGCTCCCCCACGAGGCGGGTGCCAGGCAGCCCTGTTGTCCCATCCAGTCCCCTCTCCCCTGCCCTGGTGCCCATTTTTGCTTTGCTCTTAAGATGGCCACAGTTTGAGGGCAGCTTCCAGTGCAACAGGTTTAGACCTCTGCTGCCCTGCCCTTTTCGTTTCACCTGGGAAACCATAGAAATGCAACACTCCGGTGGGTCCCAGCCACCCAGGGACCCATGGTTAGGGATTGCTGTCAGGCTCCATACCAGAGCCATCTGTTAGACACACAGCAAAAAGAACATTTTTCATTTTTTCCCCTGCTGTGGCAGGGCATGAATCAAAGCAAAGGCAGGCAAGCAGACCTGTGGCCAAGGAAAAACTGGGAGGTGCTGAGTTACCAAAAGTACTTTGGGTACTTAAACGCTTCTCAAGAGTCAAGAGAAAGGAACGTGTATGTAGGTGTCTAGCATCTCCTGGGCTCCATCCCAATTTGGGATAGTCCAGGGTGGAGAACGGTAAATCCCCAGGAGAAACAGCTGGGAGGCTTGTTAGGCACATCAGAGAGAAAGGGAGCGCATGCTGGGGGAAGAGATACTCACGGAAAGATTAATGGGAAGGGGAAAAGTTATAATTATGCCAATAAACTAGGTTTGTGCCCATGATTTTTAACATCTGTGCAGTTGTGGATTTTACTTCCCAGTAAAAGTGCTTGACTCCCTGTTTCCAAGCCTGGTCTCCCAGTCAGAGAGAGAGCAGCTCCTGTTCGCTGCAAGAAAATTGCTTTGAGATGAAAAAAAGAGAGGGTAGAAGATACTGTGCTTAGGGAAACTGTGCCAGGGCTGCGAGGAAAGGGCTAGAGAAGTTTTACGTGGCTTTGGGAAACTCAGTGAGTAGGCTGTGAGGGTGAATTTGGATGGCTTTCAGTTAGCAAAACAGTGGCTGGAATAAGCCCATGAAAGGCAGCTGGATGCTCCTGGCAGCGCCACAGACTTGTGGTTTTGTGAAGGAAACGGGCAGCGAGATCAGAGGCTACTTTGATTCAGCTCCTAGGAAATGACCGGGTCGTGCCAAGCCAAGAACTGAGGCTGCGCTGCCGCACAATGGCTGGAAAGTGGAAGGGCGGGCTATGTACCGGTATTCACACAGTTATTATCAAGATCGGCAATGCCCAGCCCTAGCTTTTGGAGGCGAAGAGTTACCAGCTCAAAGGCAGGCCAGAATGGTGCTGAGTGATGTTCAATCTTTGCCTGCAGCCCCCTCCTCTGGGACAGCTCCTGTACCGCCGGCACAGACAGCAGGAGAGAAAAGGGGAGACCCCAAAGCATCTCTCATTTTTGGGACTAACAGAATAAAGTCTCTGATGTTCCTTAGCTGCTGCCCAAACTCATGTGCTGGCATCACTCCTGATTTCCACCAGCATAAACAACATCATGAACAGGTTCAAATGGAAAGAGACGAATCCATGGATCATTGTTTTCGAGACCAATCGAGAAGAAATGCGATAATAGTTCAGGAAAGGGTGGTTTCCGTAAGGACAATGATGGGGAAAACCAAGGAGTCAGCACTTTACCAAAATGTTATCCCCAGCACCAACCTGAGGAAACTGGCTCTGAGCCTGAGGAGGGAGGATCCCTTGCCATCACATCCCACGGCGAGCACAGCTCACATCCCTGCCTCAACATTCACCAAGGGTCACAGGATACAAGGATCTGTGCTAAAGGAGATCCTCGGGCCTTAAACCAGACACAAATGTGGAGAACTTGAACTCAGGTGCTCAAAATCCTACTGCTTCCAAAAGGAGCTGCACCAAAGGAGTCGTCCATCCTTCCGTTTGAAGCGCGTAGCTCCTGCAGGCTAGGGATAAATCTGGCTTTACTGCTTGTTATCTGTGTCCCAAAGTCCAATCAGCCAAAGGAAAACTGTAGTAAAGTGTCTAAATCTAACACCCAAACTCTGGAGAAATTCCTAATTGTGTAAGTTTGCTGAGCAGGCAACATAAAACAGCCTCTTTCAGCCTTGAGTGAAGTCCCTGTTGAAATTTAAGTCAGTTTTAGGACTGGTGAGCAGCAACTGATTTGCTCTCACACGGCTGTGGATGCTGAACTTGGCATTGTAAGAGAATTTCAACACATGTATCCCTTAATTTTTTGAATTTAGAGAAAAGTGAAGAAAGCAATCCATGCCCTTGAAAAACCTCAGCAGATTAAACTAGGTGCTACTATGCTGAGCTTAATAGTGTGGAGGGCTTTGTAGCCCTCTCCTGCTTCAAGGGGACTGTCCCTGTCAAACAGACATTTAAGCTAGAGTACACGGGAGAAGAAACAAAACCCAAAAAGGTAAACTGCAGCTGACTGCTTTTCAGGCAACACAAGCAGGAGGTGCTGGACTCCTCATCTCTAGCACACAGATTTCAGTCTCTCGACACTCCCAGCAGAAGCAATTAATTTCTGGGACAAACAGAGAGCTATCCCGCTCTGCAGATGTTTCCTCTTACTTCTACTGGACCTGAGTCAATGAAAACGTGGCAATATCTGCACAGCAACACAGGGAACTTTCCACTAGCCTAGATGGGGCCGGGAGCAGTCTCATTTGAAACCTCTATTAAAAAAAAATCTGACTGCTATTTTTGTTTGATATGGAAGGGAGGGGTTAAAGAGTTGAGAAAATAGAAACAGGCAGTATAGCCCTTAGCATGCCTGAGAACCACAACCTCAAAGATTTCTTGGCAGATGTTGTATCAACAAGGAGAGCTGTGGGCCCTCTTACCCCTGTTGGAGCTCCGTTTGTCCATCTGGGATGGGAGCTGGTAGCAGCAAACGCCCAGGGGTGGCTGAGACCAATGAGCAGCTGCGTTAATACTTTTGGCCGGGCTCGTTATTTCTATCTTGGGGGTAGAAGCCACCCAGCTCTGAACTGGAGTCACATTCCCTGGCTCTCACAGCAATTAATTTAAAATTAAAAGGATTCAGAGAGGGGACAAGCAGCACCTTAAAGGGTTTTTAACCTGCCTGCTCATTATAGTAGTGGCTACACGTATCTGAAACATGCAGTAGTATTGCCATCACCTTGAATAATCATGTGAATGCCACTGCTAGGAAAGGATTGAAGAGATTTGGGGACCTTAAGTACACCATATACTTTAATGTGATCATGATTATTCGTTTGAGCCATCATATGTTTTATTCTGTACTTACAGCTCTCCTTCAGCTAAACCCTTCCCTTTCTCCCCACCAGACATGTTTCAGTCAAGAGAATGTTCTTAATCTAGTTTTGGGGTATTAAAACAGGAAACGCAGAAAACCCTGCTGAGGAAGAGCTGAATGATTTCCTAGATTACCGTAGTAACTTTTGCCATAATGTTTGTTCAAAAGGATACTTCTAACACTTGTAGCTGAAATATCAACTTCTTGAAAAATAACTTTTTCCTGTGACTTCTTCCATATGTTATCTCTCCCTGTCCTGCCAAACAAACAGCTTCTACTCTTTGCTGGGGCGGTCAGCTGATGCGGGGAAGGAATTCACTTCTCTGAAGATCTGGGGATACAACTTGATTGCATACCCCGTCGGCCACCTCTCTCTTGCCCTTACTGACAGCCACTATGTGTTTCCACCTGAATCATCAAACTCTTAAAAATTAATTTGTTTCTCCTTCTACTGTAGCCACGCCCCTTTCTCCTCAGCCCCCATGAGAGGTTTTGGCTAGGTTACTGTGGTGCCTGTTGGCAAAAGGGACAGGGAGAGCTCCAGCGAGCAAATAAAACTTGTTTTAGAGTATGAATTAGAAACATGGGACCATGCTGCACATAAGAGTAAAACCTAATCACGATTTATTTAAAGAAAAGAAAGATATTTTGAAGGAAGACTTCCACCAAGTGTCGCTCTTGTCTGGATAGTGAAAAAAAAATGTTAAGGCCAAAACTTGGCTTGTGCTGTTCCGAACAACCCCACACATGCTCGAGAACACGTGTGCAGTAGAGTTAAGTGGAACCTGCATCAGTCACCCTTGAGAAGAGATTCTCAGCTTTCCAGGTAACCACATCAATTGCTGCTGGCGTGCTGCCTAAGTGCAGGTAGTTACCCACATAGAAAGCATCTTGGATTTGCTTATTCACACGTACCTGTAGCTTTCTTTACGCTCAGTAACATTTTAAAAGCCTCTTAGACCAAAGGATAAAGGTACTGGAACAAGGATTATCCTTTCTCTATACACAAAGTGACAGGACTGCACAATCAATTAAAAACCAGTTCTGAACGTACAATCAAAACTCATCCTAGAAATCCAACTTTCTGCCGTGAGGACCCCAAACTCTCTTCTTCGTCCAAAGTCTTCTGAAGGGCTATATGTAACGACTTGCCTACTCTTTTTCCCGTCTGCAAGGAAAAGAAAGAAAAACAAATCTGAGAGAGATGGTTACTAACTGGAAGACAGCTCTCGTGGAACACTTGCTTTTGACAAATACTCTCCCTTTACATGATTCATATAAAGCAGCTGGCATAATAAAAATACGCTCGTAATTAAGAAAAATAACAGTGGTGGAAGTTTCATTTTAATTTGATGAAGTTTTGGAAAAATGTACACATAAAGGTGGTGCTCTGATTCATCCAAGACATGCAATTCTATACTGCCCAAGGACCTTAAAACAGGTAACAGAAGGTTTTCTTTACAGGAATCAACTCTAGCTGTGGAAAACCAAGAGGACTAGCTCCAATTCCGGCCTCTACACTTCCCACATGTACAACTGTGGGAAGACATGATGTCGTTGCCATCTTATTCCTGCTTGCCTCTCCTAAGGAGCAGACCATAAGAAAGCCTAAATGCTGGCAGCTTCCCCACACTCTCTGCAACCTTCAGCAAGTCCCTTGTGCATGTAATAAAAGCACCGAGATCTCTGCTCCTCAGTCCTTCCTGCAGCTTTTCATACACTCAAGTTCCAGCTCATCCAGCATCAGCCAAGGCAGTAACTGCTCAAAACTCCTTACCTCCATCATTTCAAAAATACTCTCAGGATCCAGGCTACCTTTTCCCACTTTCTTCATAGAAGTGAGGGTGCCTTTACTGGTCACAGAAATGAGCAGGCTGGCCAAAGAACAGGCTGCTTCTTGAAGGGTGGCATCCACCACGTGTCTGTATCCAATCTGTAAGTCAGCAACAAAATGCTGTGATAGTTTGCAGTTGTCTAAGCTCTTTATTAAGAGCTCTGGATATCAAGCAAGGAGTAGGTGAAAAATAATAAGCAATTCTTCCACATGCAAGAAGATGTATTTTAAGAATGCATCAAGTAGAAACCTGCAAGTCAGAAGTGGAAAAAACCCACCCTTATTCAGAAGAAGTTCTTCTCAATTAAGAAGCCAAAGATGAATGAATGTTTACATAGTGGACACCAACCACTTGTGTAACATAAGTTTTATCTCTAGGGAAAAAATAAGTGGCAAGTGAAGTCAATAGAAACTGAAGTCTCCAGGCAGAAGGTCAGAAATTAGTCAGGCTTACTTTGCTCAGTGTGACAATGCAAGGCACATTATCCACATTAAGTCGAATGCAATCGTAAGGGTCATCAGACAGCTCAATCTCTTTAGAGCCTTCTTCATCCTCCAAAACACGCACTTTGGGTATTCTGTGAAAATAAAATGTGCAAAGTCATTGCTAGAACAGGTAATGAATACAGCTGTCAGACAGTCTCAAGGCCAAGGAAGTGCCCTTTTCCTCTAAATGAGTCTAAACGTTTAGAAAAAAATCCAGAATGTCATCAAGGTATTTAACAACTCACTGAGACTAGGAAGAAAACATTGTAAGTGGGAAGATATTTAGGGTAAGATCATTGTATTTATATCAAACTGTCAGAATTTGGACTGATTTTTACATTAACATAGGGGGAGAGATTCTTTAGGAATTTGCACAAATCAATTCTGAACACTTATTTGTACATCTGCCTGGATCTACACGAGAGACATCACCAAGACCGAATCCTTTCGCAGTGCGGTTCCCGACCTTGCAGACAATAGTCAAGTTGTCAGAACTACAGCAACCACATTGCCTGGCAAAGCTGCTTTACTTGGCAACTTTTATTCATCTGTTTTGACGCCCATGGCAAATCGGGGCAGAAATCCGTACAGCAGGACCGAAGTTACCTAAGAAGCGATGGTTTCTCTCCTTGGCATGCTGCAGACCCCAATCTCACAACCACAAAACCAGCTCTACCCCGACAGGTGGCAGGTCTGCCCAGTGAAAAACCATGACAACTGCAAGGCTATAACAGGCTATAAACTCCAGAGCTTTTGTAACTCGCTTATCTTCCACTGCCTCGGTTGCATGCAGGCACTTTCCACCAGGTCAAGCTTAATGCTGCGTCCTGACACCGGAGCTACTTGCATGTTTTGCAAATATCGACATCATCACAGATAAATCAAGCCTTAGGCACCTTAGAGGCATGGTTAAGAAGTAAGTTTGCTGCCTGCTATCTTTTTGAGCATGATCTCAATATAATTTTTAGAACACAATGAACGATACTAAACTTCAAGGAGTAAATGTTCCCCCTAAAAACATTCATATTGTCACTGTTCCATGCCTGGAAGGGATGCACCGAGTTGGGTCAGCCACATGAAGGATTTAAACCCTGTAATTCTTGCAGAAAATTCCTTAAATTAAAATCTTGGATTTATTCAGCCCTGAAGAAAAATGTGTTCATAGCTATTATAAAAATGGCTAGAACAAGATTTTGAAGATGAAACCAAGGTTTTCAAATGCCTATCTTAATATCTAAACATTCATAGCTTCAAAATAAAAACAGCAACTTGAGCTCCCTGCTCCGGGTTCCAAGGCAGAAAAAGATCTGAAAACACGCTGGTTGTAAATAGGTTATGAAAGGCACATAAGGCTCAGAAGAGGGACACACATGTCAAGCGAAGTTCAGAACACTAAATCTGAAGTGACTGGAGTTACAAATCAGTAGTCACATTGACAGAAAGCTTCTTATTCAGGACCATCCACGTATCAGTAAATACCACTGATTTTAAATTGATTTAAAAGGCATCAGCACAAAGACCTCTAACCGCATGCAACAAAACCAGAAGGCCAAGACATTTTTTTTCTGGATCTGGCTACCAAACAAAAGTTATATTGTGAACCTAATCGTGCATAAAATGTAATATAACACCCTATTAGAAACTGAATTAAAGTAATGTTAGTTCAGGGTACTTGAATGCAAATGGACTGCCTTGTACCTGAACGCAGGTTGCCCTGGGTATTTTGCATTTAAATAATTAAACATTAAAAATGCTTCCCTCATGGAGAAGCACCCCTCTTCCAGCTCCATCCACACGAAATGAGAACTGTGCTTTACCTTGTATTGAAGAGAGCTGCCTTCACCGCAATAGAGATTGCATCAAAGAGGTTCCCACCACATTCCAATAACTGGGGAGAAAAAAAAGAATCTCTTTAAAAGAAAATCAGGCTAGCACCTTGAAACCAAAGGCAAAAAATTAAGAACCAGAACAGGTTTTTAAAACACAAATTTGTTTTTAAAGCCTATCTGTGAAAAAAAAATGGCAGATAGGAAATTAAGATTTCAGCTAACTGTACCATACCTGCAAAGCAGACGAGTGAATGCACTTCATAATAAAATGAATTATAGAATTTAATAACAGAAGTTGAAATGAAACTGCTGCTGTTCTTAGCCTTCTTCTGCTAAGGCTCCAAACCAGATTATGACCAGAATAAACTTGCCACATTTACTCTTTAATGTTAAATCAAGCCATTCCATTTTCTAGACTTTGTTTCAAAGAGGAGTCTTTTTCAAATATCAGCTGGACAAACTCAACCAGAAGAACTGTTTTCAAAGTAGCAACACAGACTGTCACCCAGAACATGATACAAAAAGCTAGTTACGGAAGGTAATAGCTATGAAGGCACATCGTGATTCATTCTCTATTCTTCAAAGAAAAGGAGGTATCAGCAGGCTTGTCTTGTAGCTGAAAGGGATCTAAGGAAATCCTGATGTCAAAGGCTGCTGGTTGATAATGCTGTTGTTTGAATTAAAGCAAGCGGAGGGAGGCTGGCTTAGCTTCTTCCCATGGAGATGAGGGGAACAGACAAAGAGCAGAGCAACGCTGTGTACTAGAGAAAAAAGGCAGGGCTCTCGTAACCAGCAACACCTCTGTGGGTCGAGACACAACTCAAAGGATGCATTTGGCCACAGTCCAGCACCAGTTTTCTGGCAAACTTTGCTCTCACCTGCCAGTACTGTTCTACCAACACACACATCCCCAGCAAGCACCTGGAACCACTTCAGTGGGAGCATGCAGATGCTTCTTGGTTACACTGACCTGCACTGTATGATGACAGCACAAGTTTCGTGAGGCTGAATTTGTTGCTATTCCTTCAAAATCCATTTAAGAACGAGATAAACTCTTGCGCTGGGAGCAAACCACAAATCAGATACTCTGGAAAGCCAGTTTATTTTTATGAAGGCAGATTGAAGAGGGTGAAAAAAATAAAAAGAAGTCGGGGTAGAAAGGTGAGGACAAAGGTGATCAGATTACTTCTTTGCCAACAGCTGTTGGATACAGAGAGGTTAACTTGCCACTTGCAGAAATTATTGGATTATGGGATAACACAATAAGTCCCACAATATCTTTGTTATTAAGACACAATAATGGGCTGTGCACTGTTGCTAGGCTCACGTCGCTCTCCTAAAGCCTGAGCTGTGGCACAGAGGCGCCTACAGGCTGGGAACACAGCCCGTGTCAGGCGTGGTACGACGAGTCCTCCAGAAAGAAATCGATGCTCTCTTCTTGGCCAAAGCACCCTGTACTGAGGTCCTTCTGTTTTAATTTTTATTAAAGATTAGGAAGTGAAAGAGCTCGCACACTTTGACTTTCCTTGCTCAGCCCAGCAGGTTGCTGAGGTTGAGCTATGTGCAAAAGGCTATGCCTGTACAAAAACACCCTGATAAAAGGCTAAAAGCTTCTTTCTGATATCAAGGCCTTACAAGGGGCAAGAAACTGAGGGAAAATAGAGAAGGTGAAAACAGGCTTATAGTTTTGCAGTACTGTGTACAACCACATCCATGAGCTACTCTTTGAAAGAGGAACACCTACTGTTAAGAAAGAAATGCATGTGTGTGGAAAGGTCAAACTATATGTTCTTGACCTTTCTTTCAAGAACATATACCTCAACCTTTCAAAATACGTGCATACCTGTGCGTCTTCACGGTGTGTATAATTGAAGTTATTTTCTTTCCACTCTGATTGTCCAGTGACCGTTGTTTGAGATGCTTATAATCAACAAGGTGCATGACAATTCAAAATGACATGCATGACATTCTCTTTGGAGACCAAATATCTTGAATTTTGTTCACACGCAGGAGCCCAACGCAGCTGCTTTGATCAAAGCGTGCATGGCTAAATGACATTCCAATGAAGTAACTCAAGGTTCATAACATTCTTTCTGGGTTTTTATCTTTCGGAATGAAAGACTTGAAAACAAGTACCTTCCCACCTGACCACAAGGCACCAGTGTTTTCAGGCTTACAACAGATTTAATGCTTGTTTTGCCTCTGACTTAACTATGCAATTCGAACACCAATGTGAACAATTTCCAGGAATTCTGAAGAGCTCTCTATAAGCACTGTTATTTTATTTAGAATCTGCCTCTCTCAAATGATGAATACTAATATGACTTACACCTCATTCTGTAGGAATGATTCAGCACAAGCAGCTTCAGAAAAATCTGTAAGCATCAAGCACCTACATCAAGCATAAACTACCACATATGCTATACAAGTCTTCTATTTAGAAAAGAAGTAGTACGAAAGCCTGGGGTGGAAAAAACACAAGCAGGGAAGAGAACAAGAGACAAATGTTAACAGTGTCTGTACCAGCAGCGCTTCAATGGCTTACACACACAATCTCTGCAGAACAGGAAGGTAAAAAGTCTCATCAAGTTTAAAGTCCTCATTATGAACCTACGACAGTTTCTTTACTGGCACTGGAAGCAAAGCTAAACACGAAGCTCACCACATAATGTAGGTCTTGGAGTTCCTAATTCCGATACAACTAGTAGCATAAAACACCGAGGCCGTTTTATTCTGTAGCTGAGGCAAATCGACAAATTTTTCCAGGAAGAATCAAATTAAAGACCTCGCACAAAAGCCGTACAAAACTACTGCTGCAGTGCTCAGCTTGATGAAAGGCTTTGTTTGTGCAGCACTGACGTGATGTTAAGCAGTACTTTCCTTAAATAAGCACAGCGTTTCATATTCTGTACTTCTACTGATAATTACCTGGTAACCAAAGGCCCCCGGTGTGATTTTTCAGAACTACCACTTCACTCTCTATTAAACCACACCAGGCTTCAAGCAGCCAGTGCCTGGGACTGTGAAAACACTCAGCACCAGTAAGTACTGGGTAATTCTGTATGCAGGCTAAGTCACGGGTATGTACCACATCTACTTCAATTAGGCTAATGCTGCTGCTTTTTAAACACCTAATGGACTTACTTTTCCATTTGTTTACATCTTCGTCTAAATGTTCCTGTTTTGTTTAACAAGAGCCCATACTTAATGTTTTTGGCAATATAGCTTAACATTTTGCAAATCATTCCACAGGAGTTAATGGATGCCTGTGAGGAACAACATGTTTTCAGTTACAATTGGACAAATAGAAACTCAACTTTGGACCAATAAGAACTGGAAACAATGCTCAAAAGAGTCTGACCTGAAGCCTTCCATTAAATTCTCGTAAGAGAGTGCTTTAAATACAGCATCATCTGGACACTGAGCTGCTGCCTGCATAAGATTTATAAGCACAAAATTCAGTTTCCATTTTTTAACAGGAACAAATATTCAGCTTCTCTTCTACATTCAATACACGTATATAACCTTGATCAAAAAGTGCCTAGGCTAAAGGTAAATTTTGCCTGAAAAGTTTCTATTTTACTTTACTGAATTAATACTGATAATAGTGCAAAGCGGTAGACAGGATAGATGGTTATGTTCGGGCTTGAAAAAAAGTTTAGCCTTTAGAGGCAACTTCCTTGTCAGCATAAGATCACTGATTTTCATCTGAGACTGGAGTGTTTGGTGTTTTACAAGTTCTGCAGTGGAGCAGTGGCATCAAGAAGAGTAGAAAAAGAGCCAGATGGATGCAGTGATTACCTATCACAGGTAGATTCACAAGAAAATGGCCAACCATGCCTTGAAGCACTAAGTCACATTATGAGAAGTGGGTTTTATATATTAAAATACATATGGTTTTGCTAAGTCAGTCAGCGCCTTGGCAAAACCTCGAATCTTAGTTTCCATTTCCTTACTTACCAATACATCGACATAGAGAACCCAGCAGTGCTCCCTGGGATTAATACAAAGTGATTTCAAGTCTACACTGCTCTCGCTGCTAAATACTCCATAGAGCGTATTTGCTATCTCTGTGCCAAGTTCTTCTCCTCCTCGGCCTTCAAATTCAGGAGTAGCATTTGCAGAACTAGATAAAGAAAGAAAAAAATACTTTAACTTCCGAAGTGGCCAATACTCAAAGAAGATTGCTTAAATATAAAGAAACATCTAAGGATGTATTTGGACAAGAATAAGCATCCTACCTGTAAAGAAATTATTTCCATTTTGCATAAGAAAATATCTTGATGCAGCTGCATTTTGCTACAAACTCCAGTACTAGTAAATTCCACTACTATCTTCAGTTCCCAAGTTACAATATTAAAGTTGGTGAACTCTCTCAGGGAGAGACAGAGAGCTTATTTCTTAAGCACCCTCATTTTCTGTCACCTCAATCCTTTCAAAAATAAAAAAAAAAGTGAGAGAAATCTGTCCTAAGTTCAGAACAGCTAACAGGGTAGCCTGCTAGAGCTGAATGTTAAATTAGTAAGAGGCTGGCTAAGAGAAAGACGTGACGGTATGACAAGTGGAGCATGCATTTTTTTAAAGTGACATGACTGCTCGACCTTAATTGGCAATTTCTGTACCGAGTGTGCTCACTGCTGTCAAGCCTCTTACACTCAGCAGCTCGTTACTCTCAGCAGCTGCAACTTACAGGGAGCAGCAACTAAGGAACATTTTTTTCAGAAGGGACCTCACAAAAGCGTGTGGCCTAAACATGTACACAGCTAAGAACAAAACTCTAACCAATGAAAGAGAACAGGCCTACAAAAAAAGAACCAGCCAAACAAAAACATTCCCACCTCCAAGTCACAATGAAGTAGAGCAGAAATGTCCAGATACGTAGACAGCAAAATAACGAAGTGATGTTCTGAACTCAACCTCTGGTTTCTAGAGAGGGCAAGAGCATTTTCAGGCCTATGCCCCGTGGCACAAGTTGCACAGCTGTGTTTGTAAATGAACTAGTCAGACCTCCTCGGATTTCATTTCTCATTCCAGGGCACAGGAAAGGAGCTGGTTCCACAGAAGCATTTCAGTATGTTCAAAATCTCCAACAGCAAAGCCCTGCATTCTCCCGGCTGGGCACCTCCCAGGCCCATTTCTCATGTATGTTTTGTGTTTATCTGATGATACAAACTCCCAGCTCTTCCAACAGGCACACTCAACACACAGCAGGAAACAAAGTCTCAGAATATAAACCCTTTAAAAAAACAACTACAGAACCACATCATTTAGGTATGACTTAAATCATCAAGTGAGCTGGACTGACCAGAATGCAGAGCCTATCAGTTTACATATAACCACCTCTTATTATTCTTACCTGTACGAATCACCTCACAGTAGTTCTCCCTACTTGTTCTTTTGCAGAACTGATGAAAACTCAGAATGCCAGCAAGAGGATTCTACAGAAGTTATTTGCTGCATCTATAAGCAAACAGCACTATACGTGCTTTAAAAAAAAATTAAAAATTTCTGCCAACCAAGCCCATACCTATGCTTCCAGACTGTATCTGCCATGTGAATAAGCACTGCAAGTACGACACACAATATTATTCACAGTTGTGTTAATATCAGACACTAATTTTACACAGTAGGACCATATTCCAGTAGAAGTAAACTCTGGAAATATGCCCAGTCAGGTCTTTAGTTGTATTAAACAAGCATTTAGCCATCGGAGCAGCTTTCACTCCAGTTAACTGGATCGTTCTGTTTAAGTATGGTTATGCAAGCACTATGATGATTTCTGTAAGTTGAAAAGAATTACACAAACCTCAATCTGTAGCTTATTATTATTCCTAAATGCAAAGTTTTAGTGAATGCATTTTTTAATTATAAATGACTGCCTTCTTTGACAGCAAGTAGGAAGAACGTGAGACTCAACAGGAATATCACTGCAAGTTTCATTGCATTTTAATTTTATTGTTATTTTAAAACTTCAGCTCCTTGCAGTCAAAGTGAAATCAAGAAGTAAAGTTAGCAGGGTACGTTTAGAATAACTATATGGTAACTACTGCCACCTAATGCTCATGGATTATTGCAGTGATTTATACAGAGTAAAATATGAAAAGGGGTTGTCTAGCATACCAGGAAGACAAAATGCCCCAAAAAGTATTTTACAGAGCACAGAAAAAATTTAGTAGTGGCCAGGCAGAGCAAAGAATCTGCTCCCAAGCAGAAAGTGATTTCAGAGTCTTTAAAAACCATTTCAGTGTGACATTGCATAACAATCATAGAATCGTTTAGGTTGGAAACGACCTTTAAGATCAAGTCCAACTGTTAAAACCACAACCCCCACTAAAGCATGATGCTTTCACCACACATTTCTACTGAATTTCAAAACCCATGCGGTCACCAGGCAAAACTTCTCTCTCACAGCATGGCCTGCTGCTCAGGCCATGAATATACTATAATCTATAGTGTGAGTAATTATAACAGAAATAAAACAGTTAATGAATTGGCGCCTCAGCTCAAGAGAGACAGGGAACTGCTTGAAAGAGTCCACTGCAGAGCCACAAAGATGATGAAGGGAGTGGAACATCCCCCTTACGAGGAAAGGCTGAAGGAGCTGGGTCTCTTTAGTTTGGAGAAGAGGAGGCTGAGGGGTGACCTCATAAATGTTTATAAATACGTCAAGGGAGAGTGTCAGGAGGATGGTGCCAGGCTCTTTTCAGTGATGTCCAGTGACAGGACAGGGGGCAATGGCTGCAAGCTGGAACATAGGAGGTTCCACAAAAACATTAGAAAAAACTTTTTCCCTGTGAGGGTGACAGAGCCCTGGCACAGGCTGCCCAGGGAGGGTGTGGAGTCTCCTTCTCTGGAGATATTCAACACCCACCTGGACTTGTTCCTGCATGATCTACTCTAGGAGTTCCTGCTTTGGCAGGGGGGCTGGACTGGATGATCTTTCAAGGTCCCTTCCAAGCCCTGACATTCTGTGATTCTGCAAATTAGACCAAAGCTACTTTCCTGGCATTCAAGGGCTTCATCACACCCATGACAGGTTTCACTTAAAGTCGCATTTATTTCAAGTGATCAATACCAGATTTCTATCCTTGCACCAAAAGAGACATACAGTCATTTAAAACAGGAAGGCAAACAGCCCCAAAACTCAAAGAGCAGAAAATCAGACACAGCAGTCTTTCAACATCTATGGCCATGATGACCGTCTTCTCTGGTGCTGATGGGCAGTGACGACACTGCATAGAACAGGGACTTGTTCTCTGTTAATGAATTTCTAGTATTAAAAACCATCAACCCAAAAATCATCTCTGCCAGGGATTCGCACTAAAGTCTGTCTCTAAACAGGACTAAATGTGCTTCTCAGATAGCAGAAGGAAGAGAAATGGAATTTTGGGGCAGAGAATTATATACACAATCCAGCAAGTGATCATTTTCAGCAGCACTAGAAACCACAAATGTTTCAGGAAAAAAGTACTTTAAGATAGCAACCATGGCAGTCAGAGTTTTTATTATTAGTTTCAACAATATAAAAGCTAAGTCGAACTTACAGGAACTTCACTTGGGTATGCAGCATATCGAACAATGCTCCCCTGCTACCACCCAGCGGCAGTCTGGAAAAGCATCAGAGTACCAACAGCATCTCGTTTCCCTTTACAGAGCTGCCTCCACATTTTGTCTTTTGGATCTTTCTGGAGGCTAGAAGTCACCTTTCCCTAGCAGCACAAGCACACAAGAAGTGACTTCTCTAAAATTTAGGCTTTTGGTCTGTGTTGTCAGAGGATTACCTATTCCTAGAACTGACAAGATCTTTCCTATGCAACATTGCCGCACATTTCCCTCCTTATGAAGCAGAGATTAACAGGATATGGTAGTTTCATACACTCTGGAATAACACCGAGACGTCACTGTGCTGCCTCAGAGCAACCTGGAAAAAAGAGCTCTCAGTCTTTTCCTATCTTCCTTCACAATTCGAGCGCTATGAAGACTGTAAGGTCAAACATTAGTCCACTCATAGCACAAAGCCAGGAATTCGATTAAAAACAAATGCCATTTTAATTAATGAAAAAATATATCAAGAATGATCAATAATATATCAATAAACATGATAACAAGTTCTAATTAACTTTTGCACCTGAAGCTTACAGTGTTGCTTTTTTTTAATCTAAACAAAAAGGTTTGTACAGAACACCCTTCAAACTCCAAATACTAGATCTATTTCCTTCTCTTCTAGTATACTAACCAGTCAACAAAGAATTCCAGGTAACCTTCATCTGGTTTCTCTAACTTCGGTGTCCCCATTTCAGCTTTGACACCCACCAAGACATCCGTGTGTCCCTGTTAAAACAAAAACGTGGCACAACTGAATTACAGTCTCAGAACCACTTGTTTAACTTCAATGCCTATGGCAAGCTGACACTTCCACCTTTCTGTTCTCCGCATGTTCTCTGTATCAGCATGAACTTAAAATAACATGAAGGTGTTTTTTTAAAAAAGAAAGGTTTCAGAAGGACATTAAGCCTGAGAAGACTCTTCAAATAACTACCAGATATATTAGCTTTCTCTAGGTTAAAAAGGCACTCAATATTCATGACTATTCCTAATGTTTTGATTCTGCAAAGAGCTATTTCTGCAGAACTTCTATAATACAGCACAGCATATTTATCTCCTTCACAGGCATCATGTGCCAGAAGTAGTTTTGCTTCTCTCTAAAGGAACAGAATTTTTCCAGGGATTAGGTGCAACAGTGATTTCAGTTTTCAAGATTAAATGTTAGATTAGTTCAGACTGGAGGCTGCCCTGATCTTTCACAGTAAATCAGCTCAAGAAGGTTAATGCAGCTTGAATCAACTGTGTATCCTGCCATTATAACCCACACTTCCAGTTAGTGCCATGCATGCGTTCTTGCACGAACACAAAACCATCTACAAACATCCTCGGTTTACCTTAAGACTCATCACATAAACCAGAAATTTCATCAGCAAGGTACACACAATCCCCGGGAGCTTCACCTACCAGCCTTACTCTCGCAGATCCACTTGTGTTTGATACAACCTCTGTTTCTACTTCAGCACATCTATAGTCTTCACAGCCACGACCATCTAAACGGAGATCCTCCTAAGTATGATCAGACATTGTGCTTAAAGACATCAGTAATGAAAAACTATAAAAAAAAAATAAATTTGATTTTAAGGTTTCCTTCTCCTAAGCCACACACAGCAGTGAAAAGGATATAAGAGCAATAAGATTTCATCACCAAGTTTCACTTATGAGTACAACAGAACCAGATGTACTTTTCCATTTAACTCTCATTTATCTAGAGCTTGCAACAAGCTCTCTGCAGACAGACATGAACTCCCACACTAGGGCCCTCCAATCCCCAAAAGAAAGCTTTGGACTGCAAATGTGTGAAAATCTTAGCTTTAAAAGGTTCTTTACTTAACACAATTAGAACCCAAAAGAAAAAAATAACCGACCAGCCTTCCAAATGCTTTCAGCTTGTAATTCAAAACCAGATACTATACAGCTCGTCGCCCCCAGAATAAGTTCTCTCTGCAATAAAATGAAGTTTCCGTGCTTTGCAGAAACTACAGTCCTCTTATCTTGGGCATTTCTCCCCACACATCCTTCACTCTTTCTCCTTGGCCCCACTCACTGCTCCTTAGCTTAACAACAGGCTAAAGCGCTACGCAGCAACAACTCGAGAAAGAGCGAGGCGAGAGGGGCAGATAGAACAAGATATGGAAAAAAACCCCAGATTCACGTCCTGTCCCCAGCCTCTGCTTTCTGTCCTGACGCTCTCTCCTCCGTGAGACTGAACATTATCACTCCAGAGGCTTCCCCCCTTGACACTGGGCTGGGGAAAGCCCCCTCCCTCCCTCCCCACAGGCCACACTAGAACCCGC